AAAAATGAAGTGTACGTTGCCTATTTAGCTTCAATGAAGTCAATCAAAGTGACAATGAAGTGATAAACTGCAGGCAGAACTCTGCACAGAGAGAAATGAAGATAAAAATAAGCTTGAGCAAATACGAACATGCAAAAACTAGTGTTATGTATTCCTTTTAAATGAGATCTTATCATTTTATTTAAGAAGCTTTAATAGAATATCAGTTACTTTTCACAATATTTACGTTTGGTTTAATTAATTATGCTGATCAGAGCACCACTTGTAACTCAAATCAACTATAAGCTGGTCAAAGTGCAAGCTATATTGTAGGAGGTTATTAGGCTATTTTGGATGTGACTAAACTCCATAAAAATCATTCAGGCTTGAACTGAACTTCTGCTAAGATTTGGCATAGTTAACTAACAATTTCATACTAGCTACATACTATATTGCAGACTACTTTTTTGTTCAGAAAGGCTGAAACCACAACTTCAGTATCTAATAATTTTCTTGGCTAAAATCAACTCAATAGGACAATTGTCTCACATCATGTATTTTTTTTGTTCTATTGTATCTGCGGGGGGCAAGTTACAAGTGTATGTCTTGAAAAATCTGGCCTATGCAATGGAATCCTGGAATTTAATGTTCCAGCTTCTTAAAATAGACTTATATTAATAGAATATGACACAGAAAAAAAGACTATAAACATCTGAAAGGAGGCACCTCAGGGGCTTTCTCCCATTTACTCAGATTTCTACGGAAAAGATTTTTTAACCAGTCAAGGCTTTAGATTTAAAAGATGACAAATTTGAGCTTTCTAGGATTTGTACAAACTAATACTCAGTGTCTGCACATCTGTCAATGATGTTTTTTGTCTGCTTATATACTGTTGAGACACTTGGCTTCTAAAACTCAGAGACACTCAGCTTACAATCAGAAGAACAGTTAGGCAGTAATTAATATCACTAGGCTGTGATAGTTACTATTGTAACCAAAGTTGTTTTCTACATTTCCTGCTCTGAGAAATGATCTTCCCATATGATGTTTGCTCCACTTTTTCAGCACACCTTGGAAGGATTCCAATCATTATTCAGTGTTCTTCTGGATCTGTTTTCACCTTGTCTTTTAACAAAGACAAATTTTAACAAAGACAACAAAAAACATTTTATTTTTTCCATTTCTAATAAGTATTTAATAATTCTGTATAAAACATTGTCTTGACCAGATCTTTGCTAACTACAATTTCATAAAACTGGCTATAATTATCACAGATGGTTTCAATATCACGTGTTGAACTTCTGCCTTCTCAAAGTCTTCCACTACTGCTCTGTGATGAGCTTCAATATCTATCTTCAGCTTCTTTAACTCCCTCCTCCTCTCACAGTTCCCTTGCAGCCAGAAATTTCCATCGTAATTCTTCCTCCCTCCCTCATAAAGTTACCAGCCTTACTCCAGAACAGACTGTTTTTAACCCAAAAGCATCCCTGTTCTTTGGAGTTTTTTGTTTTTTTTTTTTT